GAGTCCCTCTACAATTGCACGCTGTCCAATCAAACAACCGATTCACTCTCCGTGGAATGTTGCGTTGGTTTCGACGGTGGTCAACCGCAGCACTTCCTTCTTGAAGTCTTTGATCGGCACACAGGGATATTGCAAGCGAATATTACGTCCAAGGAGAATGCTGCTTTCACTGTTTATGGTTTAGGATCTGGCAGAATTCTCAACATGGTCTTATACGCCGTAAACGCGAAAGGAAGAAGCGAGCCGACTTTGTTAGAAGGATTTACATTAAAGATCGCTGAGAAGCAAACTGGTAAATGATGTCATGTGTTTGCTTGCATTATCTCGGATTCTCTCGCCTCTTTAATAGATACACTTTGAATGATGTAACAATGAATAAAAAGTATAACAATAAGAATACGAAAAATGACTCACGGCTTCGTGATCATATTAACGTACGTATTTTGTTCACAGGTATACCAGTGCCATTCGAAATTACTCCATTATTGGGAAGCCTGATCGGAGTAGTATTCGCATTGCTTTTCGTTACTATTACCATTCTAGTGGCTATGAAAATTAGAAACGAACGGAGAGCTCAAAGACCGAGTGATCTACCACTGAAGAAGAGCACCGCACCGAGTTCCGAGGATTTGTACGATACCGACGACAGGAATCCGGATGTCGTACCAATAAATAAAGGTGTATAATATCGTAGTATATTTACTTGAATATCTATGCGTTAAAGATCATCAATTCGTAGAATAGAAGTTTCTACTTTTTCTAAATTTCTTAAGACATTTCTCTGGTACAACAAGTGAATATAATAATAATGACGAATGATAAATTTAAAGGTTCAGATTACCAATTGACGGGATCAATATCCGGCACTCCTATGGCCACACAGAATACACCAGATGGACTTCCATCAACTTCGCTTTCTATACAACAGGTGACTCACCTACAAGGATTGTCACCATATTCGCACGAATATAATAATTATCCAGCATTATCGGTAAGTTATTATATTAGTTCTAGTACTTTAGTTTGGCTGGACTCTTTTAATAAGAAGTAAATTATCTTTTCTTCCCATTTTTTGTAGAGTAATCAATTGTATTTACAGTAACTGAACAGAACCTTATTTTACGCGAGAAGACAAGTATTAAGAATTAGATTTTAAGACACAGGCACTGGAACCACTTCGAAATATTATTCAATTCTTTTTCGTACTTTTATTTTTCAAATTTTCAAAGTTGTTCTTCGATTCTTTTCGAGATCGTACGATGCGAATTGCGAATAGCAGTAAAACAAATCCAATGATACGTAGCATTAAAATTGCAATGGAAATGAACTAGAAACATGTTGCCAGGAAGAATTTATCAATAAGACCTGATATATTTCTTCTTGTGATGCCATGTTGAAGATAACGTTCTTCCTTTACTTCTGATTATCAAGTTGATATCAGTTTGAATGGTACCAACTTGCTCATCAGTTTTGTTAAATTGTTGAGTCGCATGTAGCGACTCCCAACACTGAGATGGGTCTCAACTTTTGCGACTAAAGCTAGTCATTGGGTTTATGATGCGGCAATTGCTACAAAGAAATTTGCTTCTTTCCAACGAGTTGCAAACCTCGCTCAGCTTTTAATTTCATGTAAATTAAAAGATAAAGTTTGTCCAAGGATAGTACGCATTAATCTCCACATCATAAATCCGATATGCAAACAGCTTTAACAATGATACTTTGATACTTCGTCATGTTCAATTTGTTACTTCTGAGAATACGTGTCCATGAAATATTTACGTAATGAACATTTGTATAAAACTGACGATTCAAAGAGTACAAATGATACAGAAAAATTGAATAATATCATCGTTGAGCCTCAGTTATCATTTAGGAAGTGATTTATTTCTATCTCTGCCCCTCTTTATTCCTCTTCTCATCTTAATGATTTCCGTGACTCGAGGTAATTGTTCAAACAAATAAATTTTTAACAGCAGATTATATGGATAAATTCCTTAATTTGTGAAATTATATAGTAACTTTGTGCTTTCTCTTTTCCTTTTTTTTTTTTTTTTGCTTTTTAAGTAATTTCATTCTGATCTTTTTCAGTTGTCAGACGAAGTAACGTACGCTGAACTATGTCTGACGCGTCCATCAACATTATCAACGTTAGTAAATGACACGAAATTGATTGGTGGAAGTGGAATTGGCAATTTAAGTACACTCGAAGGTTATAGTAGTGAGGTGATCGTAGGTGGTAAGCCATGCACGAGGGAAGCTACGATTTATGCTTGCATAGATCACAATGCAAGGCCGTTGAAGATCGATCCTCCATCTACTTCGCCGTTCACATTGGCAACCCTGTCGACAAGAAGTACATTCCAGGACTGTAATGTTTCGACGATGAATAGCAAACACCCGACAAGAGAAATTGTTACGGTGCGTACACCGTTAATATCAACCCAGGAGAGTTGTGTATAGGGATGCGATCCTGACGCGCTAAATATCAACGAATATTACGTTTGATTCGACGTGCGCGTCTAGTTATTAAATGTGGTTCTTCAACCATTTGTGCTATAATGAAACGTACATATATGCTATTTGATATGCGACAAATGTGTAAAGTAGTTAACGAAATTAATGTCAGGTGGACTGATCAATCATTAATTGTCAAATATTAATACGGTAGCGAAAGAATACAAAGGAACGACGAGTCCTCTTAATATATTAATAATAAAAGCGTGATATTAATGTTAATCTACAAATTGTTCAAGGATATTGATAAGTTAAAGTTAAATTTGGTCGATAAGACTGATTTGAATGTTACGTAATCTTTCATCTACCGAGTGCCCATTATCGCAAGCAACTAAATTGTTTCCCTTGTGAACTATGAGAATGAAAAAGTATTTGTGGCTGCATGATTTAAGGACGAATTTTTAATACCAGATGGAACAGATGCAATCAAGCTCATTGAAACCATAATCAATTAACCAAAATATAAAAAATCAAAATTATATCAATTCTCAACTTTTGAGTGAAATTAATATATGTTACATCTTTCTCGTTATAAATACCAATTGCCATTTTTCCATCCAAGGTCCATATTTGTCGAATAACTATGGCGTTGCGTGTAATACATCAAACTTGCACTTGAAAATGAAGTTTCATAAGTAATCTTTATCCGAGATATCTTGATTTACTATTCATCATTATCTGATGATGGAAACTCACAGTATTGTACAAAAGAATGTTAATAACATCAGAATTATTATTCAGACAATCTAAAATCCTAAAATGAATACTATGCAAAAATACCTCGAATCATGCAACCTTCCAATCATTTTTTTACATCTTTAATAACAATAAAAAACTTAAGTGTTCATGAGTTGGACATTACTGTGTATATATCTTCATATTACTTAATTTGTTATACCAGTATAACTATTAAGACAGAATTTCAGAAAAACGTTTAACAATTTAATATATGTAATATTGGTTTATTTTAATAGGATTTAATGAATTTTCAGCGGAACTGAAAAATTCAATAAAACTGATTAATCAAAACTGGGATCATAAAATGATTTGATATTTAAACATGTTATAAGTATTATTTTTAATGTTCACGCATATGTGTACCGTTTAATATAAATAGCATTAACAAATTTTTATTTTAACTCGAATTTGATGTGGCAACACTAACATGTTCATGAAAAATGTGTATTATAAAAAGAGCGTAAAAGTATATGGTAAAAGTTGGAGTGTGGCCAGAATATATGAATTGTTTTGTACTGATTTATTCGCGTTTATAATTAATATCTATGTATATATATTATATATATATATAGTATAATTTTTAAATTTTTAAATATATATAGTATAATTTTTAAATTTTTCTCATACCTCATACTTTTACAAACACATTTATAAACGAACAATGCTTTTACTATGTTTACATGTACCAAATTTTATTTTAAGTTTATTAACTATTGCATAAATTTTCTATTTTCTATTACTATATTCTGTGTATCTCTGCTTTTGATATATGTGTACATTAGAATGGTTTTTGAAGAAAAAGAAAATTTTCTAATCCTATGTTTTTGGCCTTCACCCTGTGAATAATTTAAATCCATGACAAAATAATATGTTTAATCAATCAACTTAATTGAATAACGTGGAAAAATACCTCAAGGACCTTATAGTTTTACATATAAAATTCCATGAGCTCAACTGTTCTTCCAAGTTTTTCAATTGTCGAACTGCTTTGAATTTGCTATTTTTGAAAGTAAAGTATATAAAATAGATATGCAAATATAAAATTAAAAAACTTACCAAATAATATTAATTTATGTATAATTTGTGATTCTTCGTTGAAATATGTATGTTATCAGATTTAATGCTCAAAAACTAAGTACCTGTTCTAAATTACTCAACAGTTACTTCTATCTTCAAAATAACAAATGTTCCAATCTTATCTAATAACAGTTTATAAATATCAATTTTTATATATTGAATTGATGAATTTATAGGGACCAAAGTATTTTATGTATGTATTTCTTGTATTTTCATTTACTAGTCAATTTTTACTATTTAGAATAATAATATTTTATCCCATATTCAATAAATATCTTGAAATATTGGAAAAATTTCTCTAGCTTGCTACTCCCCATATAATGGAGAATGAAAGAAAGAAAAATGAGATGTTGCAAATTACGTATATTAAAATTATTAATTGTGAGCTATTACTCAATTCAGAGCAGCTTTTACTAATATTTTTTTAAATATTAGAAATTTTGCTAGATATATGAAGGATTTTATGTGTAAAACTTCAAGACTTAGAAGGTACGATTTTTCAGCACGCATTATCTATTATTACATACATTATTTTTTTACGAATTGAGTTTATTATGATAGTACACAAACAAGATATTTCTGTGTCGGTACTCAAAAATTCAAAATTCGATCGATAAGAACTGTCTGAATGTATATAATTCAAATATCTATGCTTCTTTTGAAATGTTTGCACAATGAACTCATTTGTAAATATGTAATAAGAATAATATTAGAATGAAAACTCTGTAAAAAATAAATGATAAGAACGTTTCGTAGCTTTTCCTTAATTCTCGAGGTAGAATCTGATACCCAGGTTTTCTTAAACCCTTAAACCTTTAATTTTAGAATTTTCATTTATCAGTTCTTCTTGTATGTTTTAGAAATACAAATAGTCAAAATTTTAATTTTTACAAATAAATAATACCTTTTTCATATCTTTTCCAATTCGACCATTCAATTTACTTCAAGTTGTGCTGTCTACATTTCTTCGATAAAGATAGGATAAAAACATTCTTATTTTCCAAATCTTTCTTCAAGCCAACTTTCCTTCAAGCAAACTTGAAAATATTTTATAAGAGAGCGACGAAGAAAAATGTTTTCAGTATGTAACAATGAATACGACAATAAATAATTTTTTGAATATTTTTTGGGAGAAATAACTCTGGAGTTATCCAATAAGGACACCCTTCCTAGTTTCTATTATTTTTAATAAAATATGTAACATCATTGACTAATGGGATAGTTATTTCCTCATCGAAAATTACATATTTCTTGAATTGAATCTGGCGACATTATTTCAAGCAAACATACATATGTATGTATATACAATAATCGTAATAAATAAATGCGAATTTAGTAGATATTATATATGAAGCTCCATCTTCGTATAGTGTGATTTTTCAAAAGTGCATCATTTTTTAATGAATCTGTACGATTGTTTTTTCTACGATTGAATTTTCTCTACGTATTATTCTGAATAATAATAATTTGTAATTCCAAACTTAGATTTTTATACGTAGAATACATTTATTTTAAACTATGTATACGTTCATTTTTGTATATAGAAGCATTTGGTAGAAAAGTAAAACTCTCTAAATTGTAATTATAATTATTTCGCCTGAAAATGTCGAAGTTGATTGACTGAGTTTTGAATGACGCGCGTGAAATATTTTAATTTTGCGCGCCACAAATGAACTACAGAATGTAAATGGCTGCCCTCTACTGACGTTTACGTCAGCCAATAGGAAAGCGGCTGGATGGGACACGCCATCATGGCGGAAATCATAGTGTCAAGATTCTTTTGACAGGTGCGAAATTCGATAGTGCGTAACATTTATTGTCATTCTACTACCTTCTACAAACTACTATCAGGTTCGTTTAACTAATATATTATTATTTAATACATTTTGAAGTAGTATCACAATGATATTGAATTACTTTACGAACTTTATTTGTTCAGCTCTTTACATAGGTTAGCTACGTAGTTGTTAGATTTATCAGTATCACATGTCAAGAGTTTTTGAGGCAGAATCTGAGTGCAAATCACTTTGAAAGAACATCTGGATTGTTGATATGTTAGTAACGTTTGATTTATTATTTTAGTATGTTATATTATTATTATTTTAGTTAGTAATTTGGTTAGTAACGTTTGATTTATTTTTTCATTCACATTATTTATTAGTATCAGATGTAGAGTTTTTAAGACACAATTTGAGATTATATAATGTATTACTTTGATATTATTAATTCTGAGTTAAAGTTTTTAGTTTTCATACGTATAGATTGCTAATTGGATGCCGAAATCACTTTGAAAGAACATCTCAATCATTGCTGTGTAAATGTGGTACGTTAACGTGTGATTTATTTTATTCATATTATTATTTTGTGTTACTTCATTGATATTATTATCTTATATTTGATGACTGACTTTATCTACAGGTTGACATCGAGGAACAACAAGGGACGTCAGAGGGACCACGAAGGATGTCGAAGGATATCAAGGAACATCGAGAGACATCAAGGAACATAAGGGACATCGAATGACTTCGAATGTATAATTGCTTCGCAACTGTATGTACAATTGTACCATTATTGTGTAACACTTGCATAACTTTGACGAATATTTCCCAATTATTCCCAAATACGTGACAAAGTATGTTCGCGTGTTCTTACAACAATTTCTGGTTCCATCGAGTAGGAGTATGCTCAAAGCCTTGAGCTGCTCGGCTTTGCTCTTTTGGCTCCTCCGGGAGTGTCCTGCAACGGAGCTAGAGATATTTGGGCGCTCGATAGTACGTACTTTTGAGCGATGGTGAGTTTTCTGTTCGTTCCAGTTGCGTCACGAACTTTCCTTTCTATTCGCGTTTGAAATGAAAGACATCGGTGTCTCACGCTAGTAAAGATATATAATTTGACATGTCGAGTCGAATGCGTGCACACCTCCTTTGAGAGTAATTTTCCTCAGTCGTTTCAATTTGGGCAAGTGTGTCAGTATGAAGGTACCAGACACGCTCAGCTTCTTCAGTGACAATCCGCCTTCATACAACGATACCTGCCATATTCTTTCGCCAGAAGAAGACCTGCCAGTCACGTGGAACTTCTTCAGCGATACTTCACCGGACATTTCATCTTTGCGAAGCAACATCTGCCACATTGCGCTGGACGAACACCTGCCAATCACGGGCAGCAACCTCATACCATTTCGTACAATCAACGACCGTCACAGAACATCTCACAAGAGTATTACTAAGCGACCACGAACACCATCGACCCAATCACTACATTTCCACACCTCATTTTAATCGCTCCACTCTCAACAGGAAGTTATATGCTACAAAATTACCCATTGAGATATTCCATTATTGAGAATAGGTGTTCCTATGCAATAAAAACCTAATTATAAGGAACCTCTTCCCAATTTATTGATATCCAGCGTTCAAAGAAATTCTGAACCGTAACATCTAATGTAACCTTCGAAGAACAATTGTCAATAGACACTTAGGTGACACAAGGTTATAGTTTTATTACCATTATTGTTAAGGATCAATGTTTCTTATTACTCCGAAATCCCAATCAGCAAGCTTCAACCATCGCATAAAGTATCCAACCGACACGAGGCACAAAGCACCCATCCAACCTTTGGACAACAATTCTTGGAAAATATCACCAATCGATGTGAAGTTACTCTGTACAATCTCACCATCAATCATTCTCCACCATTCCAACGGAACGTGGGGAAAGTTATCGCGTAATATTAGTCATGAAAAAATAAAAATTAACAATATTAATAATTTGGTTATATTAAAAATTTTCGAATTACAAATGAGATTGGTATTTAAAATCGAGAATCATTCACAATAAATTAAACAGTCTTCGAATATTTTATTCATGGTGGCTAGAACAGGCTCGTAGAATCACGGCCAACATTATTTATTTCTGTTTCTAATTTATTAGTAATTGTACAAATATCACACACGCATCAAACTTTTTATATCAAACTTTGTAAAACTTAGAATAATAGTTACATAATCGATAAAAAGCAATGAAAATATACTTTTGACTTTAATAGTCATAAAATACAGTATGTATATTACTTTATTGAATTTTTATAATAACATTGTAACGCGCCGCAGATTGTGTTACAGAGGTAGATATTTTATAATATAATGACAACTTATACAACCGGTGTATTAACATGAGAATGTGGAAGTTGGACGGAGTGATGTAAAGCGGGCAGTGATAACAAATGTCCGCGTTCCATTTCATTTATTTCTTGCTGTTCGGTTCCTCCTATTGAACCAGTGGAACGTGCCAGACTGTTACGTTGTCTGCACAAATACGGTGTTTCTCCTGGCGATGGAGTTTCACGACCCTGTAAGAAACACATTACATTATATTACATTGTTACAAGAAAGTGAATCTTTAATTTAAAAATTAAAACATTCGATTTAAAAATTATCAAAAAATGATAAAATGAATTGAAATAACTTATAAACAATTAAAGATAAGGGCAAAAATTTAAAGATAAATTGCTGTATGAAATATCTTTCATCAAATACGGCCAAATAAGTCTGAAGTATATGTATTACTGGTTCATGGAAAGTCTGCAGTTTATAAGTTGTTTAGACGGATAATTACAAATTGTTGAATTGGACATGGTGAAGGTAAATCTTCGTCAGCTCATTCATTGACTTGTATAATTGGAGCTTGTACTGTTAATACATCAGAAATTAATATCTTTCATAGTACAAACTTGAACTTGTATTAATTATAATTATAATAATCTAATATAATATATAATATCAAAATAACTTAAAATAAGATGGTTATGAAAAAAAGAAATTTTTAAATAAAATAATATTAAATTGTATGTGATCGTCCGAAGAAATTATACAAATTTAAACACAACTGTCGCCAGATCATTAATCATTAAGTATTATATTGTAAGTATTTAGTATTGAATATTTCAATATTTTTTAACAAGGCCAAGACTATTTTTTGTTAAATTTTTGTAACTTTCACCATAATAGAAATTCTTTTGAAAAATTATTTCGAAAATCCAAAGATTAAATTTTTTAAGGTAGATTATTTTTTACTACAGAGGCTGATGCTGAGTTCTTGGATGACTAAGTAGAAGCGAAAAAAGAAAAAATAATTAAAAATAATCCTATTAAATTTATTAATGCTTGAATTAGAAAATTTTCTTTGAATATTCATAGATATCCTTGCACTTGATATTATATTACACTTTCAAGAATGATTTTTCTTCATTTGCACAAAGTAGCTTATTATATATGAACAATTATGACTTCAGTGCATCCTATCAATCAATTGCACAACACTGGGACGATCAAGCATAAACAACAAATAACAGTTACCTATAACTGTATTTGAATCTGATTTAATAGCTTCTATGCATCGCCCAAGACATTTTGATTTAGGGGAAGCAGAAGGGGAATTTGTATCTCTCTTCCAATTATACTGCGGAAGCGAAGGGGCAAATTTTAAGTCAATCGATTACTTGTTCAAACGTAATATACATACTTGCTTAGAAGGTCCGCAACATGTTGCATGATTACAAGGCTTGTCAGTCTTTGGACAATCTAGTACACAATCTTCAGTTGGTGTTTCCTTGACCTCGCTATTAGAATGGTACTAGAATATTAAGAATTAGAATTTTAATGTTATGTTCAATATCATATAGAATTTTATGCTATAATACGCTTGTCCTTTGATCAATATTTTGATAGTTACTCTTGGGAACATTTTCAAATTTTATATCGATTGAAAATTGGCCTTGAGAATTTTTATCTTCGGGTAAATGGTCGAAAAATGTTTATATGTGTGATATATAAATTACTTACGTCAATAAATTCTGGCTGAATTGTAGTAGAGTGTATGCCCTCATTATGAAAAAATTCTTTTACTTGCTCTGCAATTTTCATGTATTCTGACAAATTCCTACATCTTATATGCGCTGAAGCGATAATACGATCACCAGCTAATTGCCACACATGAAATTCATGTACAGCCAAAACGCCATCAACATTTTCTAGTAAACGTTGTTGAATGGCATCCACCTAGAATAACATATTTTAATTAGATATGTCGCAGTTGAACGATATATAATAGTAGCTAAACTATAATATACTGTAATTAATTTTAAACTATAGAAGAAAATTGTACGTGCTGTCAATCTTCGTTTCATAAATGTTGCTATTCAAATTACCTGAATATGTGTCGGTACAGTCTGCAATAAAATCAATGCAGATTCTTGGAGTAATGGCCATACCGATTGTAGAATAAGAATAACTATTAAAAGTGAGAGAGCTGGGTCAATGTAAAATCTGTAAAGAAGATAAACAAATTATGGTCACAAACATTAAGAAACATCATCGAAAGTGAAAGTGCAAATTAATACAAATTAACAAGTATGACAATTTTTTCCATAAATGTATAATCCATTATAGTGTGGGATGTGTTATTCATTCACCTGTAGTCCCAGTCAGTCAACCAAACAATTAAAGCAGAGACTATCACAATCACAGATCCTAATGCATCTGAGAGTACATGAAGGAACACTCCGCGCATGTTCATTTGACTTGCATCATGTACATGGCCATGTGTCCTTTTGACTTGAGGCGTCGATGGCCTATATGTTTCATCATTTTCATTATCGTCCGTTCCTACTAGAGTGCTCAATCGGTTGTGACTTCGAGATATGCCATGCGAATGTGCATGAGAACTTCTGTGTTCTACAACAGGAATTATATGATCATACACAAGGAAAAATATTAATTCCCACATATTATTACTATAATCTTTCACATTCTTCTTACGTTCATTACACTACTAAGTATCAATACTTATAGAGCTTATTGTATTGATACAATGATAAGATACAATGAAGAGCATAACTGTATCAATGGCAATAAAAAATTGTGGATAACTTAAACTGTAAAAAAACGATCCACTTGGTCTCATTTTAAAGCGTGAAACCTCTATTATGACAGTCATGAGTTCGTTTTTTTCTTCTAAGGGAAAATGAGGATACTTTTTTCTCGAAAATTATAAAAATTCAAACGTGTGTAAAAAGTTTTCTTGTAACTAGATCTACCATCATTTTAAAGGTTGAAGTTTTCTCTTTGTAATGACTTCTTAAAACTTGTTGGACCATTATTTATTAAACGTTGAGTATTAGGATTAAGTGATAGAAATTGAAGAAATCCTAACATTTCGTCATCTAAGGTTGAATAAAAAAAAAAAAATCGTACGAGTAATTTTAAGAAATCGTTGTTATTTAAGGAGGAGTTTCAACCTTGAAGACAGTGGTGGATTTAGTTCATGGGAAAAACTTTTTGTATGTCGCTGTACACGTTTGAATCTTTAGAATTTACATTATGAAAGAATTCTCAAACGTTATACTCTTACGATAAGTAATATCGTTCCCGCGATCGGCAATATTTACCGTGGAAGAGGCACAGTCCAATAATATTCACTAATAAGCCAAGTGCCCCGACTCCTACAAGCAGTTTTGCTTCATGTATCTCTTCAACTTCGATAAATCTTTTACACGCTTCGACAGTAATACTGAAACACAATGCGACTAAAAAAACGGCGTTTACTAAAGCTCCTAAAACTTCAGCTCTGGCCCAACCAAATGTATTCTTAGACCATTTCTTTGGTGACATCTGTGAAAAGAACAAAATTTCCAAAATAATTATTATCGTTTTCAAAAAATATTGGAAAGGAAGGATACAATAAAGAAAGAACGTTGAAAAAGATTAATCAAAATTTCTGGTAATAACAATCATATTATTTTAATACACTGGTCTATATAAACGTATGGTACAAATCCAAAAATATTAATGTCAAAGGGAATTTTCCTCCTTGCTTTTTATTAAAATGTTTCAAGGAGCAAAGCATAAAGTTCGTAATTGTAATATTAATTAATAGGTCAGGATTGTCATGATGCAGAATAAAATTAAAATGCACATAAGTAAAGTAATTTGATATTTACCTTTACGGAAAGAAATGCAACGATCAAAGCTGCTACATCAGACAACATATGAAAACTGTCAGCTATTAAAGCCATACAGTTTGTTAGGTAGCCCACAATTATTTCGACTAAGAAAAATATACCAGTGAGCCATAACATCGTTAACAAACGACATTTCTTTCCTGTGTAACGACCCATACCGTTGATACCTGATAATAGAAGAATATTTCAATTTTATACAAAAGTTAATTAGAAAATATAAACGTACATGAAATATCATAAAATCAGAGTTGCTTCACGTTTGTTAACTCAATCTTCCTGGGTAGCACAATTTCTATGGAAACATATAGAGAGTTTGCAAATTTGCTTTCTCCTTTTAAACATCACGCTTTCGTCACGTTATCGATCGAGCTCAGTATTAAAATTGCATTTTTACAATTAAAATTTGAAAAATTTTTTCTTTCAAAATTCAACAATCGGCGAATTTTCTTATATCAGTACATTTTTGCATTTTGTGAATAAAACAAAGTAACTGTC